GCAATTCTCTTGCCTCAGCCTCCCAAGTAGCTGGGATTACAGGCATGCGACACCATGCCCAGCTAATTTTTGTATTTTTAGTAGAGATGGGGTTTCACTACATTGGCCAGGCTGGTCTTGAACTTCTGAGCTCAGGTAATTTGCCTTTCTCAGCCTCCCAAAGTGTTGGGATTACAGGCGTGAGCCCCTGCACCTGGCCTCATTTTACATTTTCACTAGCAGTGTATGTGGGCTTCCCCTACACCACATTCTGAAGTCTAAGTCATTTCAAGTATGTCAGCTATAGGTTTATTTGTTGGTGTCTTAGATGACCTTTACCGGATTGAGGCATTTCCTTTCTATTCCCAATTTGCAGATATGAGAAATGGCTGTTGAATCTTCTCAAATGTTTTTACCTCATTTATTAATATAATCATATGTTCTTTCCATCTTGTTTGTTATGATGAATTGCATTGATCGATTTTCAATTGTAAATTCATCTTGCATTCCTGGCCTATCTGCCACTTGGTTATGATGCACTATTCTTTTTATATATTGGTGGGTTGGACTTGCTAAAATTTTGATACACATTTTTTCGTCAAGCATAACACATATAATTATGTACAGCACCTACTACTTAATAATAGTAAAATGACTCTGTTACTGGTTATGTATTTACTGTACTGTACCACCCAGGCTGGAGTGCAGTGGCACAGTCACAGCGGCCTCAATCTCCTGGGCTCAAGCGATCCTCCTGCCTCAGCCTCTCAAGTAGAAAAGACTATAGCTGGACGCCACTATGCCCAGATAGTTTAAAATTTTTTTCTTTTTTGTAGAGCTAGGGTCTCTCTGTGTTGCCCAGGCTGGTCTTGAACTTCTGGGCTCATGTGATCCTCCCACCTCGGCCTCCCAAAGTACTGGGATTACAGACATGACTGTGGCTGCCTGAAAAGTTTTCATCAGTGTTCATGAGGTGTATGGGGCTGTAGTACTCTTTTCTTGTAATTCCCCCAACCCCTTTTTTTGGCTTTGGGAACAGGCAATGTTGCACTCTTAGAACAAGTGGGAAAATGTTCCCTGCAGCCCTCTGTTTTGGAACAGCTTGTGTAGAATTGGTACTATTTCTTCAAGAAACGTTTGAGAGAATTAATCATGGAAGCCATCTGGGCCCAAACTTTACGGGAAGGTTTTAAACTAAAATTGAATTCTATAATTAGATATAGGGCTCTACAGATTTCATGTCTTCTTGGAGGAACTCTGGTAGTGTTATGGACTCAATGTTTGTGACTCTTCAAAATTCATCTTGAAGCCCTAACCCCCAGTGTAGCTGTATCTGGAGATGGGGCCTCCATGAAAGTTAAATAAGATCATAAGTGTGGGGCCCTGATCCTCCAGGATTAGTGTCCTTATAAGAAAAGACACCACAGAGCATCAATATTATCCATCTTCCCAATACACCACTGGGCAAAGGCCATGAGAATGTAGTGAGAGGATGACTGGGAAGGGAGCCCTCACCAGAAACCAACTCAGCCAGAACCATGATCTTGGACTTTCAGCCTCCAGGACTATGAGGAAATAGATTGCTGTTATTTATGCCACCCAGTCTATGGTATTTTGTTATGGCAGTCCAAGCTGACTAATGTAGGCAGCTTTGAAGAAATTTCACCATTTTTACTAATTGTCAAATATATTGGCATAAATAGTTCACAATATTATCCATTTAATGTCTTTTAGAAATGTCACTTGCCCTCTCTCGTTTCTGGTATTCTTATGTATTAAGCATTTTTTAGTCTAGAGATTTATCAATTTTATTAGTGTTCTTAAGAATTAGCTTTTGGCTTCTCTGATTTTCTGTTTCCATGTCTTTGGTTTTTGTGCTTTTTTTAAGAAACGATTTCCTTTTTTCTGCCTATTTTGGATTTAAGTTGTTTGCTTTTCTTCCGGTTTAAGGTAGAAGTTTAAGTTATTGAATTGCTTCTTTTACAATGTGTCTAATGCTATAAATTTCACTCCCAAGCTCTGTTTTAGACACATCCTACAAATTTAGATATGTCACATTTAAATTTTCAATCAATTCAAAATATTTTCTAATTTTGGCTATGACTTCTCATTCAATCCATGAATTATTTAGAAATGTGTTTAGTTTCAAGATATGTAAAGCCTTTCCAGAAATCTTTTTTAAAAATGATCTAATCCCACTGAGATCAGAAAACATACTTTGATTTGAATAATTTAAAATATCATGATAGATTTTTAATGCCCAAACTATGGTTTATCTTAGTAAATGTACCATGTATAATACCTGAAAATCATGATTGTTTTACATGAAATGTTTTATGTCAATTGGGCTTAGTTCACAATTTTCTTCTGAGTAGTGAATTTGCTATTGTTATACACGCATTTTTCATCTGTAGAACTTCTACTTGGTATATATACATGTGTGTTAAAAAATCTGATATGCCTTTCTTCTCCATGTTCATGGCTTTAGAAAATGTACAATCGCCCATCAGTATCTGTGGGTTATTTGTTCCGGGACCCTGTGGATACCAAACTCCATGGTGCTCAAGTCCCTTACATAAAATAACGTAGTATTTGCAAATAACCTATGCCTGTCCTCCTGTATACCTTAAATCATCTCTAGACTACTTATAATACCTAATACAATGTAAATGCTATGCAAATAGTTGTTACACTGTATTGCTTTTAAAATTTGTATTTTTAATTGTTGTATTTTTTTTAAGTTGCAGGATATGTGTGCAGAACATGCATGTTTGTTACATAGGTATACATGTGCCATGGTGGTTTGCTGCACCTATCAACTCATCATATAGGTTTTAAGCCCTGCATGCATTAAGTATTTGTCCTAATGTTATTCCTCACCTTGCCCCCCGCCCCCTGACAGGCCCCAGTGTGTGTTGTTCCCTTCCTGTGTCCATGTGTTCTCATTGTTCAGCTCCCACTAATGAGAACATGTGGTGTCTGGTTTCCAGTTCCTGTGTTGGTCTGCTGAGAATAATAGCTTCCAGCTCCATCCATGTCCCTGCAAAGGACATGATCTCACTTTTTTATGGTTGCATAGTATTCTATTACATAAAATGGCATAGTATTTGCATATACTGTAGTTTTAGCTCTCCCTTATTGTGAAGATGTAACCTTTTGGGGTTTCCTATGGGATTCTCCGATTTGGAGGGTCCTTGACCTTACCTTTCATCCTTTGTGCCCCGTAAGCCCACGATATCAAAGTGTGAGGTAGTGGACATGCTTTCAGGTCATAATTGGCTCTTTCTTCAAGGCTTTGGTCTAGCAATTCATCATCTTTTCATCTCTTGTGCATGTTTTTAGGTGTATAACACACACACACACACACACACACACACACACTCTTCAAAGCTCCATTGTCAATAAAGTGATAAGCATTAGAATATGTGTTAATTTACGGGGAAAAACCCCCAACTTTAATCTATCTGGTGAAAAGTTTTAAAATGGCAAGTAGAATAGTGTGCTATTCCCATAAATAGGAAATATCTGTAGGTTTTTTTTTTTTTTTTTGAGACAGAATTTCACTCTTTTTGCCCAGGCTGGAGTGCAATGGTGAGTTCTCGGCTCACCGCAACCTCTACCTCCTGGGTTCAAGCGATTCTCCTGCCTTGGCCTCCCAAGTAAGTGGGATTACAGGCATGTGCCACCAAGTCCAGCCAATTTTTTGTATTTTTAGTAGAGATGGGGTTTCACCATGTTAGCCAGGATGGTCTCAATCTCTTGACCTCGTGATCCACCTGCCTCAGCCTCCCAAAGTGCTGGGATTACAGGCGTGAGCCATTGTACCTGGCTGATTTTTTAAAGTGATGGAGTCTTGCTCTGTTGCCCAGGCAGGAGAGCAGTGATGTGACCATAGCTCACTGTAGCCTTGAACTCCTGGGCTCAAGCAATTCTTCTGCTTCAGCCTCCTGAGTAGCTGGGACTACAGGTGCACACCACTGTGTCCAGCTAACTTTATTTGTTGTAGAGATGAGGTCTCACTTAGTTGCCTAGGCTGGTCTTGTACTCCTGGCTTCAAGTGATCCTCCCACCTCTGTCTCCCAGTGTGCTGGGTTTACAGGCATGAGCCACTGTACCTGGCCTGTAGAATTCTTTTTTTTTTTGAGACGGAGTTTCACTCTTGTTACCCAGGCTGGAGTGCAATGGCGCAATCTCGGCTCACCGCAACCTCCGCCTCCTGGGTTCAGGCAATTCTCCTGCCTCAGCCTCCTGAGTAGCTGGGATTACAGGCATGCGCCACCATGCCCAGCTGATTTTTTGTATTTTTAGTAGAGACGGGGTTTCACCATGTTGACCAGGATTGGCCTGTAGAATTCTTAATGCATTAATGCCAAGTATACTATTTCCTATCAAATTTATTCTTTTTGATTCTCTAGGAGAGATAAGAATGTCCAAGTAATAAGTGTAAGACCTAGGAGTTGGTCTGACCCTGACCCTTTACACAGGTGACTTAATTTCATGTTCAACTCAATATCCTTGAAGATTAAATGAGAAAAGACAAAGTTATCCCAATAGTCCATCCAATGCTAACATTTATGAATCTACAGATGCTTCCACATGTCAACTCCAACACTTATAACAGGCATTACTGAACAATAATAGCCCTCTTCCTCACTGGCATAATCCTTCCATAATAACTCTTCAGAGCCACACACTGGAAATCGATTGGAGACAGCACAAATCCTGTTTATCACCGTTACTGCTGCATATGACATCTTTTGACATATGGCTGAAACAATTGTTTTCTACCATATTATACCCTCATTTTTCTAACAGTTATAATAGTTTAAGAATTAACACATAACCTCCCCAAAATCATTACCATCTTTCAGGATTGCAGAGAATTAAAGTGCAAAATTCAACTCTTTTATTAAGAAGAAAAAGACATAATCAGGTACAAAACCAAAAAACTATTCTCAGCTTGACGTAAAAGCCTTCTATTGAGAAAAGTGCTAATAAATAAAAGACAATCAATGATACACTTCAGGTAAATAATAAAAATTTAATAGCAATATCATAAAATAAACACATATAAAAATCAAGTATTTAGTTTCAGATGTTAGAAGTAATATACATAATAAATTTAACATGCTGATTGGTGCTGCAAGGTAAGATTTTATTTTCCAAATTACATATTATGCCAACCAGCCTGCTTTGAACTCAGAGGTTCAAAATTTTGCTTTTATTATGAAAAACATCTGGACTGTAGACACCTCTAACAAAACCATGTTATACTTGGCATATTGCAATTGAAGCTCTGTGACCATCATCCTAATGACCTAACTAAATCCTCTCATAATGGAAAGAAGTTCAAGAGACAAACATTTCTCTCCCTAGGATGCTGGTTGCCAAAACTGTCACAGTGTCAAAATAGAAATAATTCCTTCCTCCTTTTTAACATCATGTTGTCCTTGAAGCATATGTATAAGAGGAAGTTAAAAACCAAAAGAGCAACTTCAAGCTATATGCTAGGTCAATGTTAAATCCGCAGACTAATTTTTAGATATAGTATTCCTGGTTCTGGGCCTTAAAGAGAAATAAAGGCATTAAACCAACTTTTATTTGACTATTCTTTCATAATCAAATCTTTCAGTGATTTCTAAGACTGTTTTTACAGCCTATGTGCTAGTTCAGGAGACACACTGGTTGTAAAAGGACTTGAGAATATAAACTTTAAGGCTAAAAATTTCATCTTCAAAATGTATCCATTTAAATAGAGCCCTTGACAAGGTTATTTAATGTAGAACTGCTGGGCAAAATGAAAGCAAGTATTAGACAGAAAAAAGGTCATGCTTAAAGACTTCATTGAAAAACCACAGGGAGGTCTTTCATAACGTAGGTAATTCCTTCAACCTAAAGACATTTGCTGAAAGTCAAAGTTACCCTGTTGCATAGTAAATCTTCAAAACCATTAAGTCACTTTTTGGGTCAACATTTCCTATGCTTTGGTTCAATGATTTAATAAAGCATATATTTTACAGGATTTAACCATATAATTCAATGAACAAAATAAAATAGATAAAAAATGTTAGAATCGTCACTGAAAAATGGCATGTTTCTCCATCTTTTTCATGCAGTAAGCATGCCCATCTTAAATCTGATTTTTAAAACAAATAATTGCTGTATTTCCCACTGAAGCTTGTTATTCTGATGAGCCAAATTCAAATGCTTTCATACAGTTGAGGATTAAAAAACATTTTGAGGATTATTCATCATTATCTGTAGAAAGAAGAAAAAAATTCATTTCAAATCAAGCTGTATCGACTTAACAACCCATTCTTTTCATGCTAAAGGAGAAGAGCTTTAATGTAGTTTTAAACATACTTTTTATTGTATCACACATTCACTATAAAATATTCAGACAATACAATGAAGAACAAAATGGGAAGCAAAAATCATCTGTAAATGAAAGATAATCAATGTTAACTTGATAGAAATCCTCCTGCAATGCTTTCCTATGCACAGACAAATCTCTTTTAAAATTACACTAAAACGCGGTTTTGAAACATAGGTTTTCCACTTAAAACACTCTAGTGAATGGAAAGGTGGATATATAAGTGATAAAGCAACATTAGAAAATGTTAATGTTAGAATCTAGGTGGTAGGTGCATGGGTGATCACTTGTAAAGTTCTTTCAAATTTTCAGTATGATAAAAATTTGATAATAAAATGTTAAAAAAGAATAAATCATGGATTTATTCTATGTCGACTTCAATGTCTGCACAGTATTCTATTTAATGGATATGGCTATTTATTGGATAATTAAATTAACCATTACTATTTACAGACATTTTTATTAATTTAATTCTGAAAATTATAATCAAGTGAATTAAACAGATTTCTTAGCTTAATCTTACATCCAAACACTATCTTCCACATTCTGGCAAAAGTGATTTTTCATTAAAATCAAAGGGTCACGTCAAGTCACTGCACTGCTTAAAACATTTGCTAGCTCCCTACTGCCTCAAAATGGAATCCACGCCACTTAACGTGGATTATAAAGCCCTCCCTCATCTGGCCTTTTAAATATTTCTCATCTTACCAAATTTCATTTCCCACCTTCCTCAACTATAATTTCCTTCCCTATAATTTATGCTTTAGGAACAATGAATTGCTGATAGCTCCCCTATGACGTTTTGCATCCTTCCATGTGTAAGTATGTGTACTTATTTGTGTTAACTCCCATTTGTCTTTCAGAATCCGATTTTGATGTCCTCTCCCCTAGGAAGACCTATCCTCTCGTCATTATTTCTTTCAATGTAGTTGGATCATTACTTTATTACTTACATACATTATATTGCTTCCAAGGTAACACTTAACACTCTGTACTACCATTTATTTATTTTTTACAATTATAAAATGTTTCAAATAATCAGGAAAATAATGAACACACATATCTATAATACGTAGAATTACCAAAAGCTAGCTTTTGGCCATACTGGTTTGGATTGTTTAAGTAAAAGCATATTACAGATAGAGAGTACCCTTTCTCAATCACTGCCATCTCTTCTTCCCCAGGGGCGTTTTCAACACTCTGAAATTGATGTGTATTTTTCCCACTGATGGGTTTTTGCTTTTATTTTTATAACATACATGCACATCTAAATACAATTTATAAACATTACATAATTGGTATAATATTCTGCTTATTCAACTCATCATGTTTATGGGGCTTATCCATATTGATAGAAAAAATTTAATTCACTCATTTTAGCTGATGTCTAAAATTTCATGACATAAATGCAGCCCAATATTCCATCTAAAATGAATTTGGAGAGAAGGTATGTGTCTCCGTCTTAAGAATCTGTAAGGCCAGGCATGGTGGCTTGAACCTGTAATCTCAGCACTTTGGGAGGCCAAGGCAGGTGGATCACCTGAGGTCAGGAGTTTGAGACCAGCCCGGACAACATGATGAAACCCTGTCTCTACTAAAAATACAAAAATTAGCCAGGCAGGGTGGCAGGCGCCTGTAATCCCAGCTACTTGGGAAGCTGAGGCAGGAGAATCGCTTGAACCCAGGAGGCAGAAGTTGCAGTTAGCAAAGATCGCACCACTGCACTCTAGCCTGGGCAACAGAGCAAGACATCGTCTCAGAAAAAAAAAAAAAAAATCTATAAGGTTGGGCTGCTAATGCTAATACTAATACTCTATGTGAGAACATGGTAGCCTCTGCCAGGCTGCTACTGGCCACAGCTGTTACAATCCTTCTCTCCTTGTGGAAGAATTTATTAGGAATACTATCAAATTGTTCACACATTTTATTAGCAGCTCTATTTGACTTCTGACTCTGGATAGTATCTAGCTATGGACAAAGCAGCATTATCAACAGCTGAAGTTACTGATGCTTACCAAACCTGTACCATAACAGTATCAGGAGAGTTAAATAGCAGAGGCTGTCTTTTCAGGACTCATTTAACTTCCAAGGAAATAAAACAGAAATGTGTTTTTGACAATCTTCTTTTTCACTTGTACCTTAATGACTTGATGTCACTTTCAGGTGAGCTAGATAAAATTTTGCATCCTGTCTCCCTTCTTTACTCTCCCCTTTCCCCAACACAGAGAATCGAAGTGTGTAAGTACCATATGCAGATGACACGGTTTTATCTCCTAGATGTGGCCTAAAAGATAGCTATCTGGGCAACTGCCTGTAAGACAGCTAGGCTGGGTGCGTGGGTCACACCTGGAATCCTAGCACTCTGGGAGGCTACTGCGGGCAGACTGCTTCAGCCCAGGCAATGTGGTGAAATGCCACCTCTACCAAAAAAAAAAAAAAAAAAAAAAACACAAAAAATACAAAAATGAGTTAGGTATGGTAGCTCGATCACTCAGGAGGCTGAAGTGGGAGGACTGCTTGAGCCTGGGAGGAGGAGGTTGCAGTAGCTGAGATCATGCCACTGCACTCCAACCTAGGCAACAGAGCCAAGCCCTGTCTCAAAACAAAACAAAACAAAACAACACAACAAAAAACCCAAATCAAAAAGGACAGCTACTGTATATATCGGCTCTAACGACTTCCAATAAGAAGGACTGCAAAACAGTTACTCTGAATCAATGAATATGAAATCTAAACCATTATTTCATTTAACTCTCATGAGTAACAATAAAAAACAGCAAGTTATCCAGACAATTCAATATACGTTTTATAACTAGTTTCTTTAGTAGCTATAGTAGTAAGTTATAATATTTTATGGGCTGTACTAAATTTTTTTTAAAGCTACACCTGCTGTAATGGTATGTACTAAGAGTTTTAGAAAAGCCTGCCAGGGTAGGCATTTGCCTTTAATTGCTTTACATTTTTTCTAGGTGTAAGGAATTACTGTCGGGCTTTATGATACAGAACTTTGGGTACTCTTTTCCCTTTCATTTGTGTCCTAGAGAAAATCTAATATTGCTTCTTGAGGGGTGTATTAACCCAGCCTAATTCTCGGTCCTTTGCAGGGGAAATGGCTTTCTGTGTAGGCGTAGCCTTTTGAAGCCACTCAGTTGTCAAAAGAGGATGTCAAGTCTACATTGTGAATAAGTTGATTGTTACAGTTCTTCACTTAAGGGGCAAAGCAAACTAAAAGCTCTCCAGATACTTGTGGAGCAAAACTGAACCCCAAGAATACTGTGGCTATTACTTATGAAAAGCTCTATTGAAACAATTCTTAGGGAGAACCGTCTGGAGGTTGAATAGTCTGAATATAAATAGAATTAGTTTGCTACACTCCACAGATTTACTTAAACGGAATCATCTTCTGGCCTCGTGCCATTAACTTACAGCATGACACATGAGAAACAGCCTCATTAAATCTAAATATTGTAAAAATTACTGAGCATACTTTCCATTCCACTACAGCACTGTTTTGTAAAATGAAGTCCAAGATCTCAATGAAATAAGAAATCCACAAGTACCAGAAAATATTTACATTTTATATTTTCATTTTGATAAAATAATTTTTTAATATTTAGAAAAATACATCTGTTTTACAGTAATAATTCACAACTGACAGAAATTTTCTACGACTAAGACTTGAGTTTTATTTTTACTACAGTTTATAGACCCTTGGATTCTTGTGCCTGGAAAAAATATTTTTTGCCCCTTAGACGGATACATATGTTATTGAAGTTTGAGGAACACTGTATGATAGTGCCCTCTTTTTAAAGATCATGGGAAAATTGTTCCTTTGGTTTCAATACCAAAAATAGCTGTCCTCTGAGCAACTAAAATGTTTTGTTGCATGAATACTGTGACTTATGTAATTAATTAGGTTTTCTGCTTTGTGAAAAAGACCAGCACCAAATTTGTTTCCCGTTTTTAGAAAAGTGGAGACCTTTTGAACATGAAGTTTGTATTCTTCATTCCTGGGCATGTTATACTGCTCGTGCACATTTGTCCAATAAGTTGCTTTCCCCAAACCTTTTTTAAAAACTCAAACCGGGCCCCTTCCTTACAACTTATACAAAAATTAACTCAAGATGGATTAAAGATTTAAATGAAAAAACCCCGAGAAGAAAACCTAGGCAATAGCATTCAGGACACAGGCGTAGGCAAAGACTTCATCACTAAAACACCAAAAGCAATGGCAACAAAAGCCAAAATAAACAAATGGGATCTGATTAAACTAAAAAGCTTCCATACAGCAAAATAAACTATCATTAGACTGAACCAGCAACCAACAGAATGGGGAAAAATTTTCGTAATCTACCCATCTGATAAAGGCCTAATACCCAGAATCTATAAAGAACTTAAACAAATTTACAAGAAAACAACCCCATCAAAAAGTGGGTGAAGGATATAAACAGACACTTTTCAAAAGAAGACATTTATGCAGTCAACAAACATATGAAAAAAGCTCATCATCACTGGTCATTAGAGAAATGAAAATCAAAACCCCAATGAGATACCATCTCATGCCAGTTAGAATGGTGAGCATTAAAAAACAGAAGACAACAGATGCTGGAAAGGACATGGAGAAATAGGAAGGCTTTTACACTGATGGTGGGAGTGTAAATTAGTTCAACCATTGTAGAAGGCAGTGTGGCAATTCCTCAAGGATATAGAAATACCATTTGACCCAGCAATCCCATTACTAGGTATGTACCCAAAGGATTATAAATCATTCTATTATAAAGACACATGCACACCTCTGTTTATTTTGGCACTGTTCACAATGGCAAAGACTTGGAACCAACACAAATGCCCATTAGTGATAAACTGGATAAAGAAAATGTGGCACATATACACCATGGAATACTATGCAGCCATAAAAAATGATAAGTCCATGTCCTTTGCAGGGACATGGGTGAAGCTGAAAACCATCATTCTCAGCAAACTGACACAAGAACAGAAAATCAAACACTGCATGTTCTCATTCATAAATGGGTATTGAACAATGAGAATACCTGGTCACAGGGACGGGAACATCACACACTGGGGCCTGCTGGGGGTGAGGGGGCTAGGGGGGAATAGCAGGGGGGTGGGGGGCTCGGGGAGGGATAACATCAGGAGAAATACCTAATGTAGATGATGGGGTGATGGATGAGCAAACCACCATGGCACGTGTATATCTATGTAACAAACCTGCACATTCTGCACATGTATCCCAGAACTTAAAAGTATAATTAAAAAAATTTTTTTTAAACAATTACACCTCCTTGATCTGACATTCAAACTTAAAAAAAAGAATTATTTTGTACTATATCTATATTTAAATACAACCTTGGTCTTTTTTGTATGAATATGCAAACAAATTTTGTATGGAATGTAAATAAATTTTATAAACATTTTTATTGCTAAAATTAAGTGTCCACATTTAAAACCCTCAATTTTAGTCTATGAATTAAATCTTTAAATTAATAAGATTAATGTTTGGGCAAATAATCTAGAAATAAATTCTTGTTCCAAATTTTACCTATTGCTTTTTGTGTTTAAAAGTTTTGCCAGGTGCAGTGGCTCACGCCTGTAATCCCAGCACTTTGGGAGGCCAAGGAGAGCTAATCATTTGAGGTCAGGAGTTTGAGGGCAGCCTGGCCAACATAGTGAGACCCCATTTCTACTAAAAGTACAAAAATTAGGCAGGTGTGGTGGCACCTGTAGGCCCAACTACTCAGGAGGCTGAGACAGGAGAATCACTTGAACCCAGGCAGCAGAGGTTGCAATGAGCTGAGATTGCGCCACTGCACTCCAGCCTGGGCAACAGAGCAAGACTCCATCTCACACACACACACAAAGTTTAATACTACATCCTTGATAAGAATTATTCTAGGGCCAGGCGCAGTGGCTCACACCTGTAATCCTAGCACTGTGGGAGGCCGAGGCAGGCAGATCACCTGAGGTCAAGAGTTCAAGATCTGCCTGGCCCACATGGTGAAACCCTGTCTCTACTAAAAATACAAAAATCAGCAGGTGTGGTGGCACATGCCTATAATCCCAGCTTCTTGGGAGACTAAGACAGGAGAATCGCTTGTGCCTAGGGGGTGGAGTTTGCAGTGAGCCGAGATGGCGCCACTGCACTCCAGCCTGGGCAACAAGACTCTGTCACAAAAAACAAAATAAAAAACAAAACAAAGAATTATTTTAATTTATAATCTTGCTCATTTTAGAGACAGGGTCTGGCTCTGTTGCAGAGGCTGAGTGCAGTAGCAAAATCACAGCTCACTGCAGCTTCACACTCCTGGGCTCAAGCAATCCTCCGGCCTCAGTCTCCTGAGTAGCTGGGACTACAGGTGCCCACCACCATGCCTAGCTAATTAAAAATTTTTTTGTGCGTAAAGAAAGGATTTCGTTGTCTAGGATGGTCTCAAACTCCTGGCCTCAAGTGATCCTCCCACTTAAGCCTCCCAAGTAGCTGGAATCACAAGTATGTGCCACTACACCCAGCTAGGATTATTCTAATTGCCACAGCTGTCCAAAAATCTGTCTTGTAAGATTTTTAAAAATCTCATTCAAATGTTACTTATAAATTAAATTAAAAATATGGTCTTAAAGGACTTATCAGTGAAACTTTATGACAAGTTTGATTTTATAATTACTTAAAAGTAATATAGTCTCCATGCAGATTTCACAAAATGGATGTGATTTAAGCTGATTCATATACATGTATCATCTTGTTTTCTCACATTTATTGAAAATTATACAGACGTGAGGAAATCTTACCTTCTTGGTAGGCTCCATCTGCCATGACTAAATGAAGAATCTTGGCATAAAGATGCTGATGTTCATTTCCCAAAATATTTTGAACTATTTTTGAACAAATTTCAATATTTTCATCTTCATCTTCATGAATAGCCTATACCAAATTCCCAAATATAAATTAATATTTGAATAACTTTCTCTAATTATAGACTTCACTTTTTGTTTATAATAAATCTAATGACCAATAAAGATCATCAACATTTCTCTAATCTTCAGAGCACATTTTAAGTGTTTTAGTTGACTTTTTACCTACCTTTATTTTCTCATAAACCCCAAAGAATTTTTCAAAGCCTATTTCCTGCTCCAGATGAAGTCTCAGTTCCTCTAAATGGTTAAAGACACTATCGTATTCACATTCACTAGTAGTTTCACCATCACTGTTATCTAAAAACAAAATTAAAATAGGCATTTCGATTAAAAAATAAAACTGAATAAAATAATTCTTACCCTAATAGACTAAAATTCTATGACAGATGAATAATGTCACTGAAGTAGACTACTTCTACTTTCAATATAAACAGTTTTTGTCATTTTAATATTTGTCCTTTATATGGCAAAAAGTATGTCTAAATCTGTCTAAACAAGAATATTACTTTTCCTTTATACACATAAAAAATAAATCAGCTTGGAATAAAAATATTCCCAGAGATGTTATTTAAATGAATAAAAAATGGAAAAAGCACACCTCCATGTTCTTCTTTGAAGCAGCTAACCGTACTACTATTTTCAAAAGTTGATAATAAATGCAGGCCATACCATGGAAAAGCCTGCGGAAGGTAGACAACCTAAGACATACATTGTTACATGTTAGCAAAACACCTAGAAATTATAAATGGCCAACATGTTTTGTCATGTACATGCTCAAGACACTTTGAAAAAAAATTACTTAATCTTTTCACATTAGCTTTTCTTCCTAAATTAATATACTTATTGAAATAGACACACTTTCTGTGCATCTTGGGGGTAATGCTGTAACAGAGAAAGTTTCCAAATTTATGAAAAGAGTTTTTCATACTTTAAAAACTGCTTTCAGTGTAAAACCTGCTGATTAGCCAATATATGTAGAAGCTCTTTCTAAAATATAGAATGCTAAGAAAACATTATTATCTTTATTACTGGAAAAATTGGTCAAGAAGTGGTTATTAGAATTAAAATGCTTCAAAAAAGCATTGCTGTAATAGGAAATAGAAAACTTAATGGGAAAGAAATGGAAAATCACACATTTGTATGAAAAGAAAAAGAATGAAAAAGGAGAGACACCCAGAGGCATGCTTCAGTTGTATTTAAAATTGAAGATGGTTCATAGCAGAGATTAGAAAAATACACTCTACTTGAAATACTTGTAAACTATAAAAGAAAAAGGTCCAAAACTCCGATGATGCACCTACCTGAGTGCCATTCTTCGTTCAGGGCACTTTCACTGCTGGGGTTGTCATCTTCATCTGCCACATCTGTCCCATTTGCAGCTGGCTCCACATCACTGTTCTTTAAGACTGACTCTTCTTCTTCACTGTATTCTTCACCAGGCTGTTCCCTAAGTAACTGTTCCATCGATGCCTGCAGCTCTTGTAAATCTGTGTCAGTTTCTTCAAACACACTGAAATTATAAAAGTTTAACTAAAAGTTTCAAACACATTGAAATTTACAAAGTTAAACAACTAAAACTACCTCATGCTGAAATTTTACTCCTACTTAAAAATCCTAATAGTAGATACCAAGAAATCTGGAAAAATCCTTCATTGTTTTTCACCCATAAGTTGAGGATGAATACAGTTGATAAATGTATCACATAACACATATTCTGGAATATATAAGCCAGGAGATGATTTGTTTAAAATGATCCCAACTTGCCAAAGAGAATTACATAACTCTCAATGTTACTCATTGCTTAAATTCTGAAATAATGTTTTGACATTTTAAGAGGCCAGACTACAGAAGTTTTTCTAAAACAAATAATAAATTATTTTCTCCTTTATGAAATTTTGAAATTTTCAAAATATCTATGTGGCTAATAGCTGGACACTATACAAAAGGCTTTCCATATAAATGTCCACTGGGCATTTGAGTTTTTAGAAATTGAAATATTTAGGGAATTACATGTTCATATTAACAGGATAACCCAGTTAATAAAATGGTCACCAGAAATCTTATCTTAGATGCCTATTCATAAAAATGTTCTAAATTACATAACAAGTAACTTTTTCTGTGTAATTAGCCTATACCAACCACCATAACTCTTCACCGGAGAATCTTGTTTCCAAAGTATTGGTCAGAATATTAATTCTATTTTCATGGGATTATAGATGCTAAAATGAAATAACTTATACAAATAATACCATACATTTATATAGAACTATCGTTTATTAAACAGTTTTATCCTATTATTCAAATTTTATCCACACCACATTCACTTTAGAGACATGGAAACTACTGACCAAAGTGTTTAAATGACTTGCTCAAGGCCACATAGTCAATACATGACAGAGCACTGCAATCTAGGTCTTTGACCGCTTCTATAATATCTGAGAAACATACTCAGAAACTTTTTTCCTCTTATGATGATTTGCTTCTTTCTCCTAACGTGGCATGTAAATGGAAAAGTTTGTAGACTAAAGGAGTTAACTGATGTTTTAGAGGTCTGAGACTTCTGAAAGAGATTATTTAACTAAGCCAAGGATCTCATCTCTGAGAAAGACAATGCTTAACAGGACAAAAGGGTAATTAACGCCTTTCTAAAAGTTTAGACCAAATCAAATATTTACTGAAGAACTAAAATATAACCATTACTGTGCAAGACTGTCAATATAATTTCCATTAATAGAAAGAGTAAATAATCTTTTTATGTAGAAATATCTTTATTTTGTACTTATATGTACAAACTGCTACAATTTGACTTACAGGAGCTAAAGAAAAGCAAAACATCTAATTATAAGGAGAAAAAAGTGTCCAATCTCTTGAATCATCCCCCTAGCAGCATTTAACTTAATATACAATTGCAAGACTAATTTAGGCTGGGTGCAGGGGCTCATGCCTATAATCCTAGCCCTTTGGGAGGCTGAGACAAGAGGACTGCTTGAGGCCAGGAGTTTGAGACCAGCCTGGGCAACATAGTGAGACCTTCTCTGTAGAAAAAAAAATTGTAAAACACTTAGCTGGGCATGGTGGCACGAGCCTGTATTCCTAGCTACTAGGGAGTCTGTGGCAGGAGGACTGCTTGAGCCCAGGAGTCCAAGGCTGCTATGAGCTACAATTGTAGCACTGTACTCTAGCTAGGGTGAGAGTGAGACCGTATCTCCCTAAAAAATTTTATTCAAAAAAATCAGTGTAGTACGCACACCTGCTATGTACCATCACTACAATGAGTAAATGTTGACCTGTTTATAAAATCTTCTAGTGAACGGCCTAGAGGAATTAGTCCCCTCTGCAGATGGTATTAATTGAGGCAGCTAAACTTGCCACTATAAGAAAGTATGAGAAGATTAAGATCTTTTACTACGTGAGCACCAGAAAACTTTAAGGTACTTAAAAAAATCTGGTCTTGAATTCAGTTTTTAGTTGGCTTTCTTATAAAACCTTGACTAAAATTTAGACCAAAAACCACATTTTTTTTCCCAAAGACAAACATCAAGTGAAATTTCCCTATATCAGTATGAAATAATTTACTTTATAAATAACTTGGTTTTCAAATTTTTCAATTAATACTAAAGGCTTCTAACTTAAATTTTAAAATAAAATCTGTCATCAACTGCTCATTAAAAAAACACATGCATAACACAAACTTAGCAGCTTAAAGAAAAAAAATAAAAGAACACAAGCCACAAATAAGCTATAGTTCATTCAGATAAAAATAAATGATTTCATAAAATTTTGGGGGAAAAAACTGTTACTCAGCACTTTGTCAACGATAAAAATCCTGAATGTTGTTATATTCTCCAATAAGATTAATAAAAACAGTATTTCAGTATTTAATGACCAGAGTCAAGCAGAAGAAACAAAAGTAAAAAGGTAACTTTTCTTCTAGATTGTAAGGTCATTAGTAAAAATCTACAGAACTCTTAAGAAAAATGAAAAAGGCAATCTTTTAAAAATAAAGTTTCACTAGAAACTTAAGCAGCAAGGACAAGGATTAAAAATCCCCAAAACCAGAAAATGTACCAGCTGCATCGATCCTACCTAACTCATTACAGAAGAAAACACTGGGAGAGTGACATACTTTCATTCAGATCAAAATAGAAGTTTTTTCTAAAGGTAAAAGTAAAAAGCAGAAACTTAAGTTCAAAGAAATCACAAAATAAATTATAAAAATTTTAATATTTTATAACTTTTTCTCCAGGTGATTTGAACACACTACCTGCTCACCTCACTCTAGAATACTTTGGTTTTATTACCCCAAAAAGAGGTCTGAGGCGATTTCGAAGGTTGACCAATGCTGAACGAGGTAAAGGAAGGTTATTATCTGAGACGCTATCACTCCTCACAGCTCTCAGAGGTGCTGCTTGTTAAATTTCCCTCCTAGATTCAGGATTCCCCATGAATCACAAAGAAAGCAAGTTAGTGAAAACAATCCAATTACATGCAGAACTCATGTGTGCACTCACACATGTGCACACACACACAAATGAAACTAGTCTACCTGCTAGTCCCCAACTGCCACAGCTTTCAAATAACACGTGGCAGGAGGGAGAGGTGGAGCTTTCTGGTCATTTTCCTGGGAAACTGTAGAGCACAGTCATGAATTGCTTAACAAAAGGAAACGTCCTGAGAAATGCATTGTTATGGGCATTTCTCAGAACGTTTCCTGTTATTAAGCAATTCATGACTGTGTTCTACAGTTTCAATAGCCTAGGTATGTAGGCTATACACTATACAACAATTTCATTGTTGTGCCAACTACTTACCAAGGCTATACCGTATAGTCTATTACTCCTAAGCTACAAACCTGGACAGCATATCACTGGAAGCAACTATAACACAATGGTATTTGTCTATTCTAAATATATCTAAACATAGAAAAGGTACAGTGAAAACATGGAATAAAAGATAAAAAATGGTAAACTTTATAGGATACTTATCATAGGACTTTACTATACACTACTGTAGACTTATAAACACAGTATGCACTTAGGCTACACTAAATTTATAAATTAATTTTTCTGTAATAATAAATTAACTTGGCCAGGCACAGTGACTCACACCTGTAATCCCAGCTATTTGGGAGGCTGAGGTGGGAAGATCGCTGGAGCCCAGCAGAGGATGCGGTGAGGTATGATCATGCCACACTGCACTCCAGTTTATCTATTTTTCATTTTCGAGACAGGGTCTCACTCTGCTGCCCAGGATGGGGTGCAGTGGGATAATCATGGCTCACTGCTGCCTCAAACTCTTGGGCTCCAGTGATTTTTCCACCTCAGCCACCTGAGTAGCTGGGACTGCAAGGTGTGTGGTAACAAACCTGGCTATTTAAAGAAATTTTTTTTGGCCAGGCGTGGTAGCTCATGCCTGTAATCCCAGCACTTTGGGAAGCTGAGGTGGGCAGATAACTTGAGGTAACGAGTTTGAGACCAGCCTGACTAATACAGTGAAACTCTGTTTTCACCAAAAATACAAAAATTAACCAGCCATGGTGGCAAGCGCCTGTGATCCCAGCTACTTGGGAGGCTGAAGCAGGAGAATCACTTGAACTCGGGAGGCAGAGGTTGCAGTGAGCTGAGATCACGCCACTGCACTCCAGCCTGGGTGACAGAGCATGACTGTCTCAAAAAAAAAAAAAATTTTTTTTTTTCGTCTCACTATGTTGCCCAGGCTGGTTTCAAACTACTGGGTTCAAGCAATCCTTCTGTCTTAGCCTCCCAATGTGCTGGGATTATACGTGTGAGCCACTATGTCCAACCTGCACTCCAGCTAGGTGACAGAGTGAGACCCTGTCTTAAAATAAATAAATAAAAATAATATGCAGGAGACATAATAGCAGAGGTTAATGACTAAAAAAAGAGCTAGGCAAGTCATCCCCCTTTTTTTTTTTACATATAAATTCAGAAACTCTTTTAATGCTAGTGTTTACTAATGACATTTACTTACATGTCTTCAGAATCAGAAGGTCCTTCTTTAATATGCTCATCTTCAATTTCATCTATTTCAAGATTGTCTTGACGAACATCTCCTATGGTGGGAACGTCCATCAGGGTTCTGAACAGCTTTGAGAGATCTGGAAGTGAACATGTCCTTAACATCTAAAATAAAAATCAATGAATTTCTTATTAGGAGGAAGAGAATTAAAACATGAAAATGAGAAAAAACTAGAGCTTATCACAATTTTGGTGTGATATATATATATCCTCTTGCTCTAAAAATATTATATTTTATATACTGTATAAAATTTTTAGAGCAAAAAATATTGTTTTATAGTTTAGAACAAAAAAAATATATATATTATATATATATGTATATATAATATATATAATATTTTTAGAGCAAGAGGATTCAAAGGTGACTTGCAAAAGCCTAGACCCTAATCCTCTTAAATTTTAGCTCAGTCTTTTTTCCCAGGAAACTAAACTTGGGGGTTATGCTTGGGTTTTAACACAGGAATTCCCTGATATTATCTTTGAAAAGTGGGAGAGGTATCTATTCAGGTACACACATGGAATGGAACTGGAAATCTGTCAGGACTCGGGCAGTGCTAGAAACTACCGTTTTCTCCTTCTCACTCATGACCCATTTGTTCCCCTTGCATGGTGTTTCTGTTAAGTGTTCCTCTCATCTTCCTATACATGGTCAGCTCATACAGTCTTGCCCAAAAGCTACAGCATGCTTAGTCTGAAGCTTGGCTAAGCAACACCACACATAATTCATGGCCCCCTGTATCACTGGATTGTAGGAATTGCTGGTTATCCACATACTGGTGAAACCAGGGGCCTCAAATCGGTATAGAGAGAAGCCTATCATTGCTTCCATGACCATGGGACTGTGAGTGGAACTTTTTTCACGAAAACAGAAAACTGGAAGGACAAGCACTCTGATGTTAATACTGAGCATGTCTGTAGTAACAGTAAGAAGGAACTCAGCCAACTAAGTTGAGCAGAAAAAAAAAGCACAGTCGTGGTGTTGAAAATGTGAATCTGTACTGGATGAGATGAGGGATAATCTTTATCCTTTATCCACCAACCTTTCAACAATGAGAATGTGATAGATAGACATGGCTATGAAACAACGAATTACATACATAACTCTCATGCTGGGTTAGCCCTAAAGGAATCTGTGAAGTTTGAAACATGACTACCAAGGCACTGATAGGAACTCTTCACCAGATGGGAGCCTGTGAGGAAAACACAATGCTTAGCATATAAATGAAAATTTATATACTTGGCCAATTTTATTGGTACAATCTGTTTTTGAGAATAAAAAAGATTTCCATTATTTGAACCTAATTTAAATGTTCTCACACTCAAGGGAAAAATTGTTATGAACTACAAGTTGGTAAAAGTACACTGCTTGTTAAATCGCTTAGTGAAGGTACTGAAAGTATTTCTTTTGCTTTCCCACTATCTGTAGAATCTACACTTTCCTTGTTTATTATTTTAGTGGTTTGACCATGTATAACATAAAATAGCAGTATGTACCAGAAATGGTTTCCTTAGATACCTGCTTATCAATAAATGGCACATATATATTATATATTTAAATTTGAGGGGACTACACAAAATAATGCAATGTTTTTTAGGCTAAGATACATTTTGGCCGTGGTAAAATAATCTCAATTCTTTCCTTTTGCTAACCAAAATAACTTTCATAACTTAGCATAATACAGTTAGAAGGAAATTCAAGTGGTCATGTAATTTGACAACTTACCTCCAGGAATGGGTTTGTACCAACCCACTAATCTGACAGCTATCAACTGGATAAGCCTTTCATGTTCACCACAGTACTCCCTGATAGACTTATAAGCGGCCCCCGCCCCGGCACTTATTCCCCCATGGCTTTGGAGCCTTTTTTTCCCTGTAGATTTATTTATCTATTTTCAGTTTTTCCTTTTGATCTTTTTAACAATACAAATGATTTTTTAATTTCAATTGTTTTTGGGCTACTCGTGATTTTTGGTTACCTGGCTAAGTTCTTCAGTGGTGATTTCTGAGATTTTGGTGCATGCAACACCCAAGCAGTGTACACTGAAATTTTACATAAAAACCCAATGTAGTCTTTTATCCCTCACCCAACTTCCACCCTTCCCCGCTTGAGTCCCCAAAGTCCATTATATCACTCTTATGCCTTTTTGACTTCATGGCTTAGTTCCCACTTATAAATGAGAACATATGCTTTTTGGTTTTCTATTTCTGAGTTACTTCATTTAGAAGAATGGCCTCCAGCTCCATCCAAGTTGCTGCATTCCTTTTTATGGCTAAGTAGTCTTCCATGGTACATATATTCCACATTTTCTTTATGCACTTGTTGGTTGACAGGCACACTTAGGTAATTTCCCTATCTTTGCAATTGCAAATTGTGCTGCTACAAACATGCAGGGTGTGTGTGTATGTGTGTATGTTTTTCATATAATTACTTCTTTTCCTTTGGACAGACACCCAGTAGTGGGATTGCTGGATTAAATGGTAGTTCTACTTTTACTTCTTTAAGGAACCTCCGTACTGTTTCCCATAGCAGTTGTACTAATTTACATTCCCAATAGCAGTGTAAAACTGTTCCCTTTTCTGACAATGAATAAAAACTGTCATTTTGTAAAAAAAAGAAAAAAAAAAAAACTGTTCCCTTTTCATCACATCCAAGCCAACATCTACTGTTTTTTTGACTTCTTAATTATGGCCATTCTTGGCCAGGCACAGTGGCTCACACCTGTAATCCTAGCATGTTGGGAGGCCAAGGTGAGCAGATCACTTGAGGTCAGGAGTGTAAGACCAGCCTGGCCAACACGGTGAAACTCTGTCTCTATTAAAAATACAAAAATTTGCCAGGCATGGTGGTGCATGCCTGTAATCCCAGCTACTCGGGAGGGG